AAAAAAAAAAAAAAAAAATAATAAAAAAAAAAAAGATTTTATATAATATATATAATATTAAATAATTTTATTCAATATATTCGATATATAAAATTATCATATCTAAGGATTTAATCCAGATAATATATTTTAATCCAGATTTTAATCCTAATTACAAGTCTTAATCCGGATCTAAATCCGAAATACGGATTTCAATCTGAATTCTAATTCGGATAACGGATTGAAACCCTAATTTATGATCACGTTATAATCAGCAAATTTACTATTTAATAATTTCCAAAAAGGGGGATGCATTGCAACGCATCTGCGTAAAATTATTATTTCCTTTAATATATATAATTAATAATTTTTAATTAAATTAATTATACTTTTTTTTTAATTAAACATAATATTAAAAATTATTTTTGAAAAATCAGATTAAAGTTTTTAATAACTATAATAAATATGATATTAAACCTACTTAAAGTCTGAAATTAATATCAAAAAATATATTAAATATATTAGTATGCATAGATAAAATAATATTATACAAAATACAATCAAAAACTATTGGTTAAAAACAGATATTTGCCAAAAAATAAGAATAATGAAACTGATATGAATATTAAAGTTAAAAGACAAATTTATCTTATATATATATAAAAAAAATTGGATATTACTAAATATCACCAGTGGTGATCATCACCACACTACTTAATTCTGGCCGAAAATTATAATTTTGGCCAGAATTAAAAAACACATCATAAATTTTTTTTCAAAAATTTCAATTTAAATAATAAATGTGTAAAACAAACCTGAGTAGATACTAATCATACTAAAATTTTGAAAATTTGACTAAAAAAATATTTACCTGCATATCTTCTGATATAAATATCTTCCTTTTTCTTGACTTTCCGGTGAATGAATCAGGTTGGTGCAAATGATTTAGAAATTTTGGATAAAATCCTTGAAAAAGAAGATGAAGAACTTTTATTAAAAAGATTGTATACATACTGGTCAAAAGAGCATAAAAAAATAAAACAAACAACCATAGATGAAAATTGTATTTTACTTATAAAATCAAACTTTCCTATTTTTCTCAAAAACTATCTTGTTTTACCTATAAATTTACATAGTAATGATATTTATATTATAATTAGAATAATATCTCAATTAGAGTTTGGAACCAGTTCTATTTTTGAAAACTGAATTTAAAATAGGTGCAACCGGTTCGATCCGTTTTAAACTGATTTCACAAAATCCGATTGAAACTGAATAATCGAATTGTATATAATTGATAATTCTGGCCAGAATTAAATGTGATCAGCATAAATCTGGCCAAGTTATAATTCTGGCCAGAATTACAACCATTGTGTAATACAATACAGGAAAATCTTACCACATCACCTTCGGTACACAGTAACATTTAGCATCATATATATTATCACATGATATACGTGTTCGCATTTTTTATATTTATCTGAGGAACTTAGTTTTTTTTACTAGCTTGATCTCTATTTGTCAATTGTCATACACCTCAGATATCACACCCCAACAAATATTTGTGTAACTGAAAATGGTGTGGTAAGACTACCTCACAATACGAAATTTTGTGGAACACAATTATCTGTAATGAAATTTTGTGTAATATAGTAACTTACCCGGTAGCTAAACTATTTAGCTATGGTTACATGATTTTAATTCGTAATTCGGGCTAGCACTATAAAGTTTCAATATCAAACCAGGTTGGAAATCCAGTTGCATCCATTTTAAACGCAAACCAGTTTCAGAATATGAATTCAGATCAAACCGAATTGTCAAAAAATCAGTTGGAACCGATTTTTAAACTGGTTGGTACAACTGGTTCCAAACTCTAATCTCAGTCAATAATTTTTGAAAATTCAAAAAATATTTTATATATGATGATGTTGATCACCACTGGTGATATTTAGCAATACCCAAAAAATTAGATGAAATTCAAAAATTAATTGATAAATTTGATTTTAAAAATTCCTTTTCTACTAATGACATATCAGCTAATTATCAAAATTGGATCAAATTTTAAACCCCAAATAATAATAATTTTGATCAACATTACACTACACCAATTAGTAAAAAAAAAATCAAATGATCAAATTTAGCGAACTCACCCTAAAATAAAAAAAAACATATGAAAAAACGTGTCAAACCGATGAGCAGAGCCAAAAACCAATGAGCTCGAGTAGCAGAAGGTAACTGGCATTTCGCGATTTCAATGTTGACCATTACTAATGGTAACTTTTAAAAATTTATAAAATAATATTTATAAAGTATTTAAAAAGTATTCTTATCATTATGCTTAACTTTTCAGATTATTGTAGTGGTAATATTAATATGTCAAGCACTATTCCACTCATAACTACATCAGAATTTTCCTGTTCTGCTTGTCAAAAAATATTCAAGAAGCAAAGCGGACTTTCATGGCATTTGACTATTGTGAAAAAATATAACATTCTGCGAAATAATTTAGATAATTTGTCAGAAACAAATAATAAGAATTTTAAAAATATCCTGGTTTATTTAATTCATTGCAAACTTCCAAATGGGTTTAAAAAGGGAGGTCGCCAATTAGTATCTCTTGCTTGTACTAAGCATCAGTTTTTTGATATTTTCAAAGGATATATTCACCATCGTAGCAATAAAAATATTTACAAATGTATTTTTTGAGGCACTATTGGATATCAAACATTAAGTGAAATATTGAATAATCCATTATAGAGTCGAAGATTTTATGATAAAGAACAACAAATCTACGTTGTCTTGTTTGATGATCTGCCTCAACATTTAAAAAATAATCCATTAGCTATTGCGGCTAATTATGCTGAAGGTATAACCACTAAAAGGCACAAATCAAAATATAATCCTAGAAAAATTACTATTGAATGGAAGATAGGATGCAAAAGAAAATTATTGTGAAGCGGGTTTTATATATATGCATTTTTGGGTAAAACAAATTTAAATAGATATTTTTATAGAATTTTTAAATTGTTTTATTAATGGGAAATTTATTAAAATTTTTTATTACATGTATATATATATAATAAATAAAAATTGATTTCTAAATATATTTTAAGTATAACGGCAAAAATAAATTTAAACTTATTATAGAGTAATGCGAATTTTGTCATACTGATTTATAAATAGATACACAATATTTTTTTTTTATCGTAATAATTGCCAAAAAATGTTAATATATTTACAAAAATATTCTATATAAAACATTAAAATCTATAAAATATGAATATATTGAGGTTTAGGATATGAAAGAGAAATATTATTTTGAGTATAAAAAAAAAGCCGATTTTCATGTTCCATAATCTCTCGAATAGCTGAAGTTTTATTTTGAAACTTTCCACCATTCTTAAGAGTTTTACGAAAAAAATAAGAAACATGATTATGATTTTTTTTTTCGACAGCACTGCACGAAAAAGAATTTAATCCCCACCTTTGATGTTTAAGCATAAATTCCCAAATATGCGACACTAAAATATGAATATAAGGAGTTAAATCTGAGGATCGGTAAAGTCCTTGTACTAAAATAATATTAGTCTCAGGATTCACCACAGTTTTTTTTAAAAATAACTNCTTTTTTTTTTTATCTAGAGGGTAGTGAAAGCATTTACTTAAGCTTTATGAAATAGTGATCCTATATAATTTAATAGCTACTATTGAAGGATATAGGTGAATTTCATAAGGTAATGGTAGGGCACAGAAGCAATCTTATGGATGGGGAACTGGTTTGGAATTTTAATAAATTAGTTATATAACATATGTTTTTGCATTCCTACATATAACTAATAAACTCACAAATTGCACTACCTTGGTTAAAAAAAAGGAAATCTATACTTAAAAATATAATTGTAGTATTTAAAAAAACTTTTAACACTTTAAAAAAATAAATATCTAAATAAAAAGTTATATATAAATTTATATATATTTTAGAATTATTTTTTTTTTCTGTAAATATTTTTTCATTTAGTTATTATTTCTTTTTTTTAAAAAATTCCTTTTTTTATAGCAATTATTTTTATATTTTCTTTTTATTTATTTTTAAAGTTTATAAATTATCAAATTTTCTTAATAAAAATCAATAATGGAATCAATAATATTATATTAATTATTTTAAAAGATTAAATTTTATATTTAAAATTAGTATAATTTTAAGTAAATAAAATTATCAGTCTATGGGTAACTAATATTTTTGCCTTTCTTTTATTTAATAATTATAATTTATTATTCTGCGAAAAAAATATTTGCTATTTTATATAAACTTAAGGAAAATTTTTTTGTTGAATTTAAAATATAGTTAAAACTAAATATTAAAGCAATGACACAAACTATTATAGTTTTAATGTTTCTTTTATAAAGTTATATGCTTACAATGATTACATTTAATTTATCAATATAAATTAATTTTTAATGGAACATGATATATTAATATCTATTATAAGAAAACTAAATATTAAAGAAATGACACAAACTATTATAGTTTTAATGTTTCTTTTATAAAGTTATATGCTTACAATGATTACATTTAATTTGTCAATATAAATTAATTTTTAATGGAACATGATATATTAATATCTATTATAAGTTGGATATAATTTGGAAAGGAATGGCATCAGTTCTTTTAAATGGTCTTCTCATAAAGTTTTCATGAATTTGATAGAAGCTGAAAAGCAAATCATTTCTTACGATGCAAGTTGTTTGAATATTGTTTTATCCTTCTATATCCAAGACATTTCATATATATTACCTTGACGAAGATCATTATTACCTAATCAAACGAACAATAATTTAAAGTTATATAATAAAGACATTTAAAAAGAAGTTAAAAGATCAATTATTGTAGAGAAAGTTTTTGTCTATTTCCGCTACTTGGTACCTATTCAGTAGATTTATCTTTTCGATACCTTTTACCTAATTTATTAACTTTTTCCACAAACATTGCTACACCAGGTATAACACCTTCTGAAAAGAAATTATTACTACCTCCTGGACTTTCATTTCCATACGATAAAGGTTTATCTCCAGTTTTTGTCATCGTATCCGTAATTTTGTCAATAGGTTCTTTCTTAAATTTTGAATACTTTTCAATCATCCTCAATTCTTCCGTTAAAGTATCATAACGGAATTTCATTCTGATCTCAGGAACGTTTGTTTTGTGAATATCTAATTATTTATAATAAAGCAAAAGGATGAGATTATTGGTTCAAACAAAATATGCATTTATCCACGATACTCACAATTTCCATCTGGCCCAGGTAAACGCCAATCTTTCCCTAACCAATGTTTCTTGACTGCCATTTCAAATCCACTTTGTATAACCGAATTACGTGCAAGTTCACACATATCTGACGCCGACAATTTCCAAATCTTTTAAATTTCGAATATGTGATTAGATTTCAATAAATAAAGATTGTGATATCTTAAATTTTAATGTACCTGAGCAGCAACACTATATTCTTCTATCAGTGGTTCCTTTGTGAAATGGAATTGTAGCGGGTCATCTGTACTCAAACTTATATTTAAGCCTTTTTGAAAGAAACTCAAGAATGGATTTCTCTCATAATTTAAAAATAATGCATTGTTTGATAAAGGCGACATAGCAATTCCAATCTGTTTAAGATAATAAAGATATTGCAATGCAGGAACTTTACGCAACAAAATACCGTGAGATATGGATTGTGACGTCAGGAAAGCAGAAGTTAAATGATCAGTATCACCAGCTTCACCAGCATGGGGTCGAAGAACGAATGTATCTAAATAAAAAGAACACTGTTAAATGATAAGTACAAATATTAAATAATTTAAATAATATATAAATAAATCTTACTAAAGCCTCTAGCCTTTCTCCATTGATTCAAACTGACCATATTTGCGAACATATAATATAAATAATAAGAATATGGCGGATTAAGGCCAGTATTCCACTCTTTCGGGCATGGATACTTCTTGTGTATGCGACGTTCTGCTTTAGATTCATCGTCCACACTATCGAATCCTACCACGCGTTGAAGGAAAACATGTAACTCGGGATGAGATCTAGGATTTTTAGTTACCTCGTACAAAGGTTCGAAGATATCTGCAGTAAAACAATGGAATTTACTATTTATGATTACAAAAATGATAATTACGTATAATTATAAATCCTTATAAATTACTTTTGATAACACATTCATAACATTCGTAAGTTCCGGTAGCTTTGTAAACATTATAAAGTCTTGGTATCTGAATTAACCAACGAACATTTGGCGAAATTAATTTATTATTTATGATCCATTTTGCAAGTTTATCCCATTCAGATGTTGAGCTAAATGAGTTTAAAAAAAAAAATCTAGTTAATATGAAAATATCGATAAATTATAAAATAAAATTATACTACCGTCCATAAATAGAAACGCGATATTCAGCCATCTGGTATTTGCTTGCTTCTAAATCTGAAATCACCTCTATATAAACAAAAACGTTAATATATAAAAGAAACAAATTGGTATACGATCACAGTTACCCATCAGTTATCATTCGGTCATATGCCTACTTTCAACTGTACAGTAGTATTATCTTTGCCAACTTTCTGTAAAACTCCCTTTCATAAAATATTACCTTTAGTAAGCTCAGCAAAATATCTTCCATCAATATAATTATCCGTTTTCAAAAATATTTCCCTTAAACGAGATTCTCCAACTGGATTATATTTCAAATTGAATTTGTCGAATCGGTGGAATGTGTCTTTATGGGCCTTTAAACAGGGAACGACGCAATTAATTAAAAATATATAAGAATTAATTTCAAATTAATAACAACTTACATGAGTATCTAAAGTATCAATACTAAGATCGTACGCAGATAAATTCAGACTTTTAAATACTTTAGCCAGCGTAAGTACTTTGCCATCTCTGAAAATAACTTCATCCTATAATTTATAAGAAATAAAACATTAGACAGTTTACGCATCAATTTAGGTAGGGCAGCACCAATAAAAGGTAAATTTAACAACATATGAATTATAAAGATGGGTAAAGGAGGCGAAGTTTCTTTGGTTAAATATTAAAAAAGTAACATAATGAACTAGAGAATCGAAAGGGAAAGAAAGGAGAAAAGGGATAGATACGTTAAACGAACCTTTTAGCTGGTACGATTTATATTACTTGTTTTATTTGTAAAAATAAAGAAATAACATACATTTGGAGATTTTTTCAATTTTGCTTTAATAAAGCGAAGCAAGTGCTTAGAATTCATACATGAAGATAAATGGACGTGTGTATCAACCTTCCTAACATTATAAAAATCTCTATGTGGAACTTTCTTAAAACGAAAGGGAGAAATTTTAATACGTGGAACTGTAATTTGTAGAAAAGCTATAAATATATTGATATTTCACCTTTGAATCAGCAATTTCCTGATATTCTGTTAAAAGTGAATACATGTTCCATTTACTTTCTAAATAACGAAGCCTTCTATATGCGTAACTTTTTGCTGGACCATCAGAAATTATATTTAAAATATCATCAAGGTCCATAAAATAATCTCTGACACTTGGAACTTCGTAAGCTGAACTATTATCTATTGTATATGTTGCATTAGTTATCGATGCCTTACGTATACTTATTATCAATTCAATATCACAATTTTTACCTTCTTGTGTTTTATAAACTTTATAAACGCCACCTTCATCTAATCTGAAGGTATACTAAAAAATCGATATAATTGTAATTCCGATGCAAAAAAATATGTGATTTTATAGATCAAACATACTTCATGTTCTGTGGGAATTTCGCACTTCTCGAACTCAAAACCACTACCAACTTCTTTCTTTTTATTTTCATATTGTGAAGGATAAATTTTCCATTCGTCACTATCTTTAGGATTGTCACTTGGTCCTTGCAATGATAATGCCATATATTTATCACGTAAATCAAGACATTTATGAAAACGAGTGTAAAGATCCTCCAATTCGCTTTTAACTTGTGGGTCTTCGAGTTCACTTTTAACTTGATCTGCAAATTTTAAATTTGCTTTTTTTTTAAAAAAAAAATTTTTTAAATTGAAATTAATATTTCATTAGCTAACTTGCCAGTTACTTCTTCTTCTGGTGTCATTGGAGAAGTGCCAGAGGATGGTTCGGCTTTATAAGAAGAACGTCTAGCCCAATAATGAGAATCACCCTTTTTTGTATCCATTAATGAGATAACGTAATAGTATTAGAATGACAAACAAATCAATATTTATTACGTTATTCTTTAATTGTCCATTTAATATATTTTACAGTAAACCAGCGTTGATATCGCGTTTTATGCATGAAATATTCTATCTATTGAACAAACAGCGCGCTACAAATTATGTATCTCATGGCACACTCATATCATTCTGTTCACAGGCACTAAAGCTGAAAACTCACATTTTTAATGGTCTTATCAACGTGATAAGAGTAGTATGGAGTTCTCAATTTATTCAAACCACCGGCTGAAGATGAACTCATAAAAGATTCCGGTTCCTCAGTAAGCTGTTCTGTTGGAAATGGGTATTCATTTCTAATATTGGTTGAACTGCTATCTGCCATAACTGAGGAAAAAAGTTTCTAATGCAAAAAAGTTTTAACATTCTCACGTTGAGAGATATCCATTGTTATTTTTATATTGTGCTATCACTGCATTAATTATCACATCTTAATGAAAACCGTTTTTTTATCGAGTTATCATTGAAATTCCTGTTATGGTGGACAATCGTAGGAGATTTAATATTCTGTAGTGTGGGTCGTGTAACATCTAATGATTAATATTACGCAACGAAAAACTTAACAGTTAATTCATGTCAATAATTTGTAATTAACATTTCTAAATACCAATTCAAAAGCTAAATAGTCAAAATTTAGTCAAATAAGATTAAAATATTCAAGATAGTTAATAAAAGAGGTTAAATGTAACTAAATAATTCACAATTAATAAACTACTAGTACCTGAAAATAAATTTATACATTTAACCTTTTTTATCATTATTCTCTGTATAATCACATTCATTTTCAAAATATTCTTACTATATTTGAACTTTTACATACATAATTTTTTTATTTATAATCATGTTCGTATCCACTATTGTAATTGAGTTTAGACTGATGGTAAAAAGTACATTTTTTTCACTCTTTGATCCACCAACTCAAGTCCGGAAGATTCATTTTTCAAACAAATGGCACAGTAAACTAGTAAACATGAAAATGAGGGTATGCCTTATATATTTGTTTTAATTTTCTATATTTGAAATTATTTTTTAGAATATAATTTAATTTTTTTAACTAATAAATTTTTGATCAAAAATTTTATTGCTCAAAAATTTAATGTTAGATTTTGATTTTTATTAGTTATTAATAAGAAAAAATAATTTTAATTGATTTCAATTTCAATTTTTTTTATTAATTAAAAATATGTGAAATAAAAGTTCTATAATCTTTGATATTAAGTTAATAATGATAACTCTTTTCCATACCATTCACATCCATTTTTCACATAAGAAATAAAATGCTTTTTTCTCATTATATTAATAAGAAAACAGCAGTTTAGTATTAAGACAAAAGTGTTCCTTGGTTAAAACAACACACTTTTTATTATTCCTCTTTTAAGTTATTAAGAGTTTACAAGAACTTATTATCCTTTACAGAAAAAATTTTTTGTTTTCTTGTGAAGTTTACTTCAAAAGAAGGCGTAAATACAGTGCACCAATCAGATTAATAATGCCAAATAAAGAAATTTCTATCAGCTATATGTTTTTCCAGTTGGTAAATATGAAATGGTACATGGGAACTGATAAGCTATATTCCATTTGAAAAGGAAATTCTTACATGTAGATTCACTTCAGAAAGAGAAAAATATATTGACAATTATAACCAACAATAGAAGCATTGTTAAGAAATATGATAAACCTTTTATGGTTAATTCAGATAGGACTATTATGAATACAAAATATAGGACCTCAAAATATCTTACTAGTATATTTTGTGGGTTACCTATCAATTTAAAAACTAGAAATAAATATTATTCAAAAATACATCAATTATTATTGGATAAACTTGTTGCGATAGAAAAAAGATTAAAGAAGCAGAATAAAAATAGACAAACTACAACATATATTAGGTTTAGTTGTAAGAAAAGGGTATGGTATTTGGAATTTTATATTCCATGCTTTTACTGTAGTAACATTTGCGCTTATATTATGTCATGTGATAGAAAAATATGTCAAAATTGTTATTTAAAGGTGATAAAAATATCTTCACCTTCACTGCAAAATGTTTTCAGAAATTATAGTTATGTAATAAGTAAAGCTCTGAACAGTTCAGTTCAGTTCCATTTTTCAGTTCTTTTCTGATTAATCAGAATTCGTTTTGCACAATAACTCACCATTGAGTGATCGTAGAAATCTGATCAATAGCTCGTTGGAATCGTCTTATCGAGACAGTTTGAATGGTACTAAAATCATCTTTCTAGTATTGATAGATGGAGAGTTAATTTTGCTAATTTTTCAAAAATAACTGCCATCTATCGATGCTAGAAGGATGATTTTAGTACCATTTGAACCATCTTGACAAGACGATTCCAATGAACTATTGATTGGGTTTCTACAATCACTGGATGGAGAGTTTAAGGTTGCTTGTCTAAACCTCTTCAAAATCCTACGATTAGTTTCATCAAAATTTTACTATAGATTTATTATAGTTTCGGCAGAGTTTCAGCAGTTTCAGCATTTATAATAAGTTTTGGTAGTTTTGCTTTTCTCTAAAGTTTTACCAGTTTTTTAATATAACTTTAATATAGTTTCAGCAGAATTTCGCTTTTCGGCGAAATGCCATCTTGCCTAAACTCCTAGGTTTCAGCAAGCAACCTTAGGCGAGTTATTGCGCAAAATGGATTCTGACTAATCAGAAAAGAACTAAAAAATGGAACCAAATTGAACCGTTCAGAGCTTTAGTAATAAGTAAACGTATAGGCGTTACTTATACAAAAAAAGTTTTAAGAAGTAATAGAACAGGTAATTATACAGTTATATATTCAAATTTGGGTTTTAATAAACAGTTTAAATCATAAAAGAAACAGGAAAAATATAAAAAAAGGGTTTTCCATAGCCTAAAAAGTAACAAGAATAAATGGCAAGATACAGGCAATGGTTTTGAATTAAAAACTTTTAATTCCAAACATCGGTTGAGATGTAGAAAAGATATCTTTAAGAAATAATACCGTATTTTTCCAAAATTAATTATCCCTTTTTTACAAGGATTTTGATTAAAAAACTTGGGAAGGTGCTTAATTTTAGAAGTTTTTTTACTAGTATTTTATATAAAAGTCTTTTTATCAAAGTACAAAAAGTTGGTAGGGGTGCTTAATTTTGGAAGGGATGACTAATTTTGAAAAAATACGGTATATATTAATAAAGGAAATGGAGTTTTTAATGAATCAAGTATCAAGTAAAATAGGAGATAATATGTTAATAGAAGATATTTTTATTAATCATTCTTTTAATAAAGAACATTTTTTCAAAATAAGGAAAAGAAAGGAAGCAATATTTGATTTAAAAGATAATGTTGTGACTGAACAGTCAATTAGTACCAGTGAGGGTGCTATAATTAACAAAGTAATAGAGAATTTAAAAGTTCTGGAAATTAGTGAACAAGTAAATCTCACTCTCTGATAAGAAATATTAAAAAAAAAGGTACCTATAACAAAATCAGAATTTCATAGAGTGTTGAATAGTGTCAGAGATTGAGACATATTAATAATTTATCGTAATGGAGTAAAAAGGAAGAATAGAGCAATTGGCCTCATTCATGATTATGTAATCACTCAGTATTCAATTAGAGGTCGTAAAATTAAAAGAGAGGTATGAAATTGAGAAAGGTTATGTATACAATTAGTTATTTTTGTTTTGTTTTTTTATTTTCTTTTATGAGATAACTAATTGTTGAGAAACAAATTATCAAAATGGAAAAAATGAATAATTATTTGTTAGTTTTACAATATTCTCTATTTGATAATATTTATATAAGGCTATTTAGTTAGAAAGAAAAATATATAGATAGATAATCTATTGAATTTTTAACCTTTTTCACATCATTCCATATTTAATTATATTTACATATAGCAAATTTTATTTGAAAGAAAAATATATAGACTTTTTTTAAGTAGTTTTAATGAATTATTTTTAGTACCTTTATCATTTTGTATTAGATAGTATATACATACAGCTTTTATTAATAAAGAAAGAATTATATATGTACGCTATTTATAACGTGTAGGTATTAAAATTAATAATTAGTAAAATAATTTTAGATTTTAAAATATTAATTTAGAAATATAGGAATAAGTTACAAGTAGAAAAAAAAAATGTAATATTAGTAGTAAAATGAAAAAAATGAAGTCGAATAGTAAGAAACGTGAGGATAATAATATTTATGTAGTAAACTTTAACAATAAGACTAATTGGAACAAATGGAATGATTTAATATTCCATTGGAGTGGTTATTGGATAAATTTTTAGGCAGATTTTGACAGTCACCTGAAAATTTGGGTTGTATCATCATTTTTAATGGTGATATGATCATTTAGATGACAGGTTGACTTTTTCTTCAGAGAAGTAGTCTTATTTCATAATGCTTAGTCTTTATATATATTTGTTATCTTATTTTAAGTTTTATATATATAAGTAAGCAAGACAAGATCACATCTATAATAAATTAATAAAACAAAAAAAAAAATCTTTGATATTAATATACTAAAATTGTAAAACTTATTTCAATTATATAACTAAAATTTTTTTTATACTGTTTATATTTATTTTTTATAAAATAAAAAGTAATAAAATTAAATGGTAGTTATTGTAAATAATAGTTTTAAAGTACTTTTAATTCCATATTTCTTTTAGAAATTATTTTATATAACTTATTTTGAATCTTTACTAAGCTTACTATTAGCTTACTATATTCATCACTTATTAATAGTTATTTTACTTTTACTAATCTCTTAAAAATTATAAATTTATTAAAAAACAGCTTTATAATTTTTAATTTTTTTTTACTAACAATTTACTAAAACAATTTAAAAATAAGATATCCAAAAAAAAATATGATAAAAAATAAGGCAATTTCTATTCATACATAAGTGTCTCAAATACGGCATAATATGATTAATAAAAAAATTTTTTGGCTAATTTTTTTGGGCGTTTGAATATGTATCACATAATAGTTAATTTTATATATACAAAATTTTTTTTTATTATTTTTATTATAAAATTTAACTCAGTGTGTACATATACTGTACATATTACTAAAAGTGCATATACATGCTATAATCTAACACTAATAATTACTTTGATATATTTTTACATAATATTCAATTGCTTGCACTTTTTACATTTTCAATCTTTTGTATTATTTGTTTTCTTTTCTACTATAATATTGTTTGTTATCATATTAATCTTTGTACTATTTTTCAAAACCTGTTTTTCCAAAGTTTCTACACTAGATTTAACCTTTTTTGGAGGTCATCCTTTATGTTTAGTAATAGTAGAATTAATAATATCTGTAAAGTTTCTTGAATTTTAACATTCTTATTATATATATTATATATAAAAGACTTGAGTAAATTTACTAACTCATGCTATATATTAACCTTAAATATTTCTTTGATAATCCAAATAATTCTGCATAAATAGCTTTAATTGATTTTATAGTTAAATTGGAAATATGTGAATCAATTTGAAATAAAAAAAGTATTAAAAGGTAATATTTTTTTCCATTTCTATTCTATCTTTTGTTTGTGTATCACATACTGAAATAGGAGAAAAATTATCTAATAATTAAATATTATTATCTAAATACTATCAGTTTGAAATAATATTTATGTAAAATATCACATATTGAGAATAAGTACCAATTTGAAAAAAATGTTTGCATATTAATTCTTTATTGAATAAGAAAATGCAAGTGTATAAATGTATTTTTTTATCAAGTAGAATCATATAATAACCAATAATTCCTTGAGTTCTAATTGCTCAGAAAAATAATACTTTTAGAATTGCTTCTGGTAATATATTCTTGATCAAGGCTTTGAAAAGAATTTGCTAAACATCTTATTTTTGTTTTTTGATTCCATTGCTTATTTCTTTATTATCAATTTCCATCTATAAGGTAATAAGATTATTATAATTTAACACTAATAAACCAAAACTTTAATACTTATATTTATTATTTTGCTATTCTGTAATTCAATTAATATCATAATATACAAAGTGATTTATTTGTGATTTTTATTTTTCAAGCATTACAGATATTAAAAGGACCTTTATAATATTATCTATAGAACTAAAAAATCTTGTATCAGCATTGCTATACTAATTATAAATATGACATTTCATTTAAGTTTAAAATATTTAAGATAGTATTATTAATTAGTTTAACTTTATCAAATTTAATTATTTATTAAATACTTAATTTTTTGATACATTTTGGCTGGACCAAATAGTAATTGTCTGGAGTGAAGCGAAGGACTATATATGTTTATGAACCTTAACGATATATTGGATTACATGGCAAAGTCCGTTTATTCACACGCATCATTTTTAATTGGTCTGCACAGAACATGTCATTGAAATTTTGTGCTACATCAAAAATAAACAATCTTTTTTTTTTATTCTTTTTTTAGGTTTTGCGGACTGGAATAGTAAGTATTTTTTTTTTATTTGATTTTAAAGAAATATTTCTGACGGTTTATTTTTATTTTTTTTTCTAAGGTTTCTGGATTTCTTGTATATACCAGACTTTAAAGGTAAATTAGAAAGAGGTGGATTTTTTTTATTTGTTTGACTTTAAAGAAACGTTTCTAACATTTCATTTTTTATTTTTTTTTTTTTTTAGAGTTTTCAGATTTCTTGAACATATCGGACTTTAAAGGTAAATTAGAAAAAGGAGAGGATTTTTTTTATTTGTTTGACTTTAAAGAAACGTTTTTAATGTTTCATTTCTTATTTTTTTCTAGGGTTTTCAGATTTTTTGAATGACTTTAAAGTTAAATTGGGAAGAGAAGGGTTTTTTTTTATTTGTTTAACTTTAAAGAAACGCTTCTAACATTTCATTTTTATTTTTTTTTTTCTAGGGATGCTGGGATTTTGTACATGGTAGACTTTTAAAGAAGAAGGACTTTTCTTATTTGTTTGAGTTTAAAGAAACGTTTCTAACATTTCATTTCTTGTTTTTTTCTAGGGACACCAGGATTTTATACACACTGGACTTTTAAAGGTAAATTGGAAAGAGCAGATTTTTTATTTGTTTGATACTTTTTCAATAGAGTTTTTTAAATAAAATTTTTTTTTTTGAATTTTTAACTTTAAAAAAATGTTCCTAATGTTTTAAATTTATTTTCTTCGTAGGAACATAGTTTAAACTTAATTATTTTTTATCTTGTTTAGCTAATCTTGAAAAGTACAAAAGATAGTGTTTAAAAAAAAAAAAATAAATAAAAATTTTTAAATTTTTTATACAAAATTTGTACTATAATAACATTGATATATAGAGAACTATACAATTCTACATGTTGAACATTAGAATACAAAATAATAATAACAATAACAACACTAATCTAGTTAAAATAGAAAACTTTTTACACAGTCAACAAATACGGTACGAAGGTGTGATAGTGACTATAGATAGATTGTGACTATATAGGATAGATTTTAATAATAAAATGTTTTAAACATCCAACTGGTGTGACTATATAGTAAAATGTGACTATAACGAGAGTGACTATAAAGGGAGTTGACTGTATATATAGTTCTTTACTTTACTTTAAACAATAATATGCATTATATTAAATTAAACAATTAATATTACCTGAAATTATACTTAATAATTATATTGCTAATTTAATTAATCATATATACATTTATAAATATATTTAATATTTTAATATTTTATAATTTTTTTCAAAATATATAACAATAAACAAATTTTATGTAATATAATATTTAATTAAAACTTTATTATAATAATATAATTATTAGTTTTAAAATTTTGATTTAATATAATCTAAATAATTTTTAATATTTTTAATTAAAATAATTATCAAATAAGATAATTTTAACAATTATCATAAATTATTTTTAAATATATATAACATTATAATTTTAGGCTTAAATTTAAAATATCATTTGATATTCTATATTATATTTTATGATTTATATTTAAAATTTCACTTATTTAATAAAGTTATAAAAAATCAATATCCATTTACTAATATACAATACAATAAAAAATACCTATTTGCAATTTGAAAATAATACACCAACTTAATTATCTTAAAAAAAATAAAAATAATCAAGCTTTAGCTTAATAATCCATTTACAGCATGGATTAAAAGTCCAATATTTTTCAAATTAGGACTTTGAGCATCTTGTGAAGCTATTTGATAATAATATTCTTCAAGCCGTTGTTTTACCATTGGTAAAATCCTTTCACAATGATCTCTAATCTCATGATCCTAAAAATTATTAATAGTTAATATATATATATATATTATTTATAAATAAATATGGATTTTATACCTTTGGATTAAGTTTAATAATAGCCTCTTCTACCCATGCTCGTTTTAATTCTGTAAATTTATTCAGTTCTAAGGAGAGGTGGTGAATAAGTGAAAGAATAACTGCTTGTGTTAATAAAGACCTGGATGGAAGGAAAACACTCTTAGGGTTCACTTTGCTGCAAAGTCTAAGGATTACTGGTAAGTCATGGGAAGCAAGAGCCTAGTTCAATAAATATTAAAGTAAATTATAATTTGTGTCAGATCAAAAAACCAATATATATAAATTTATGAATATGTTCTTACTATTACAAAAGCATCTTCATAATTCCCCATTTCTAAGTGCCTTTCAATTTCACTATTCAAGTTTTCTTCAAGGCCGGGAGGTTCTACTGGTGATAATAACTGTTGCTGATGTTGATGCTGCTGATGTTGATGTTGCTGTCGTGATTGATGAAATTGTTGCTGCTGGTGAATCTGATGCGGCTGTGATGAAGAAACTCTACCAGATGGTGTATAACTATTATATGTGTCTTGATGCGACATAGAAGGTGTTGATGCAGAAGTCGCACTTTGTGGAATTAAAATTCGTTTTAATTCTCCAGAAAGAGAACGTGCTCGTTGATGCTGCAACGTTAATTGTTTGTCAAGGAAGTAAATTATTTAATTTTGGTTAAAACAGGTTAAATAATAAAAGGATATTCTTCAGATGAACGCCCTAGTTGTTGTTGCTCTACATGTTTTCCTAAACCAACTTGTCTTACAATGTTACCACCAACATTGGCATTATTAATACTAGCTTGCAATTGTTGAACATTTAAGGTAAGATGATCAATAGACGCTTGTAAACGTGCCAAGGTATTTTGATCAATGTTGTAGGCACTAGCATATGAAGCCGACTGAGCACTTTTATGTGCAATATCTTGTAATCCAGCCTCAAAAGTCGTGGTAATTTGTTCAAACATTGCGTTTGTAGCTTTTTGATATGATGGGATTAGCACAGATGTAAAGTTTTCTCTAAAGGTTTCTTCAATAACCGGTCGTATAGATTTGGAGACTCCTTTAGCAATCGATTCGATAACAGGAGCTTTCGAAAGAACACGGGGCACATTCTCTGAAACTGCTTTATCGATAGCTGTTGGAATATTCTAAAATATTTAAATAATAGATAGTTAAATTATTAAAAAATATGTATATATATATATAAATATTATTAAAAATAAATTGGAAATTTGCTAACTTTGTTTACAGCTTCAACCATCCCTCTATGAGCATGTTTATCAACAGCATTTGTAACCATTTTACTCAAAGTCGGAAGGACAGAATTTTGTACTTCGCTACGAATGGTCGATTCCAATAATTTAGATGTATTGTTACTTAGAGTTTGAGAAACCACTTTGAGAATAGTTTCCTGGCGCGAAGTTTCAGCAGCTTGATGTGCAATGCGTTCTTCTTCTATTTTTTGAACTAAATGTTATATAAATATTAGTTAGTATCAAAATCCGATTTTTCAATAAAATAGAGCAAAAACTAACATTGCTTTTCTAATTCTTTCGAAAACATCTTTCCAAGTTTATTTGTAACACTTTCTTCCATTTTTTTTATTTCTTTCAAGATCGTTTGCATTTGAGCATTAGATATACCAGCCGCAGGTGATGATGTCGAAGAGTGACCTATAAATTGAGTGAGTTCTTTGAGATGTAATTCAAATGTTTATTTTAAATATTTCCGTTAGTACCTTCTTCTGTCACTTTTCTAGTTTTCTCGCCAGCTCCTATCTTTCCGTTGTTCTTTGAAATACCATCCGTAGTTTTTTTGCCTGCAGCTCTACTGGTAGTTTCGGGAGAGTTATTAATATTCTCACTTCCACTATCTTTGTCTCTTTCCATAGCCCGACGTTCTTTTCTTCGAGAAGTCCTTTCTGAATCAGATAATAAATCATTATTTTGAACTGAAGAAGAAGCAGTTTGAGATGCAGCAGCCTTCTTTTTTTCTTTTAATTTGGCTATAGTACCATTTACAACAGGACCAGATAATTTAATAGAGCTCGATATTTTCTGACTTTCTTGACTTTTACTTTCGTTTTCATCTGAATTTACTGTTGATTCTACCATAATACCAGTTGTAGAATCTTGCACGACACGCTTCTCACTTAACGAAGTATCTTCAGTGACAACAGTTGTAGTTTCTGGTTCATGTTCTTCCGCAACTGTATTAGTTATTTCAACTGTTACTACTTCTTTAATAATGTCCTTTTCAATGTTACCTTCATCTGTTGTGGGCAGTTGACCTCCGGAATGCGAAGATAACTCGGATGTTTCTGTAGTAAGAACTTCATTTTGTTCTTCTTTCTTAGTGTCTTCAACTTCTTCTTGTGGTGGATCAAGAGTAACTTCCTCGATAACATATTCTGGACAAGCGTCAAGATCTGGAGGTAATAATAAATGTTTGGCAATGTGATATTGTTGAACGGCTTTGGATTGAATGCAGTATAAGGAAATGCCTTGTGATGAATTCGTGTCGGGAACTATAACAAAGCTTCCAATCAATTGGTTGACCGGAAATTCGATCATATAATCAAATTGAGTGACATTTGGGCCTGTTGAATCATCAACAGAACCCATCGTATCATGTTCATTTTGATTATAAAGGTCAAGCTGTTCAGTTTTCTTATGTGGCAAATGTAAGTGCAATGCAAATATAGAAATTCTTGAGCTATTAGCTATTAACAGGGTACTAGTTTCCTGATCAAAACTGACACAATTAAACATTGCTTCCTCTTTCCGGTATGCTTTATTTAAAGAAGGTCGACGTTCTGGCGGTGGTAAGAAATTAATAGATTGTATATATTCGGATGATTCAACATCATATAAATGAAGAATCGTATTTCGTTCGGTCCCCAATATCACATAGCGGAATTTAAATAATAAAGATTGGCCTGAAGATATATTTTCTCCATCAATAAACAATACTGAAGATACCTGTTGTCCGTCGAGAATTATTCTATGGACTGGATTGATGCCGACATCATTTTCAAAATTAAGTGCCCAAAAGATGACACACTCATCACTTGCCGTAGCCAAAATCGTTCCATCGGGGGAGAAAGCCAAGTCATTGATGGGCTATGTTAAAAGATCATACGTATCAATAACGACGTGTCCCACATCAAATTTGACATGGAAATGATCTTTTAAATTGCCAAAAATAAAAAAGACGGACCTTATCTTCCATTTGCAACTTCAAAATCTTCTCCGATATATCAGATTCTTTAAAATTCATTTCATCGGTGCCCTCCAAAATTTTATTGATATCAACAACCAACACGTCATTGGTATCTGTAGCTACTGCAAACATATTACGATTTACTGGATGCCATACAGCACGATGATATCGTGGAGACTTTGATTCGTCAATTGATTCATTGGAATTAATTGCAAGTAAAATTTTATACCTAAATAAAAATTTTTCCAATTAAATTATATAAAATATTAAATTATAATGACAATATATGATAAAGTCTTCATACGGGATTTCGGCTGCTTGCTCTGATGGTGGCTCAGATAGTTCCCAAACTGTAATTTTACTATCACTGCCAACTGCAAGAAGTAATTGCGTTTTACTTTCTTCGTTTAATTCATCAGAGAGTACATCTTGAATGCACATATCAAGAATAGACTTGTCATGATTTCGCAGTAATGTTTTGCTACCATATAAAGTACTAATCACCCGTATCCTTCCACCTGTTCAAAATTAAACAAATAAAACGTACTAGTTAGTTCTTGAAATCATAATAAGATTTTAAGGAACATAGAAAATGACCTTTCACAGCATAGCATATATAAAACGCATTGACGGCAATTGATTTCCCCGCACGATATTCTAATTCACTTGGAACGAGTGTTATTGTAGTAAGTTCTAACTCCTTACTAGATAATACGATTTCATTTTTTTTGCCTGTATTATAAAAAAGAGTTCCTCGAGGAAGCTTAACACCATCTGGGATACTAATAAAAATGTAAAAAATTATTTGTCTAATAAAAATAAAATTATTTCAAAAAAGGAATAAATATAGTACCTTGAAAGTGCCTTGGATGATGAATTTGCACGCACGTTCCATGCGGATAATTCAGAAAGAAATGGTTCTTTCTGTTGCTGAGGTCGTGAAAAAACTCCACTGTCTTTATGAACCACCGAAACCTCTTGATTTTTTTGTGATGTCAAAGTAGATTGTGAACTCCACTGGGCGGTATTAATTGATTGTGAAGGAGATAAAGGTTCCTTTAAAAGATCAAAAGGATTGGTATAAGTAAACATAGATTTATTTGTTGTTGAAGGTGGTTGCTTTGTTGATGGTGATGAAGTAGTGGGTCTTATCGATTCTAATGAAGAGTTATTGTTGTTATTGTTGTAATCTGTCTCTTCCGCGGGAGCTTCAATTTCGGATGTCTCTTCCGGATAAGTTATTTCTTCCGCTGGTGGATTTTCATTCTGAGGCAACGAAGTATCCGCTAGATATTGATTTTCGTTCTCCTGTTGACTGAGAAATCATGATTAATTGAATTTGAAAATTTTAATAATTAGAAACATTATAGTAAAATTGAAATCTAAATTAATAATAGAAAAATACGATACCTTATATCAAAACCTGTTGCAGGGGAATTACGACCAAATAATGCTAGTTTAAGGGATTCTGTAGAAGCTTTATCAATATTAAATAAAGTAGGATCTCCAGTTCCAGTCGTAGTAGTTGCTTCGTTTTCACCACTAACTGGATTTAAAATTGATTGAGGCTGAGGTGTTCCACTAACACTTATTGAAGTTGTCTGTGAAGAACTTGTGTTAAGAGTTTCAAGCAAAGAAACTATAGGATTAGAATTTGGTGACATTTGTTGTGACTGTGAAGACAACTGCAAGGGTGGGGGTGGGGGTGGCGGTGGTGGTGGCACAGTAGCTGGTGGAAAAATGTTTTGGTTATAAGCTAATGGCTGAGTATTAAAATGCGGAGTATAATTATAAATTGGCATAATGTTAGGGGAACTTTGAATTGGCGGAGGAGTTGGTTGAGAAGAAGGGTACGATGGTGTAGTTGGACTTCTTTGACCAGTCATATTTGTTTCAGGAGGTGAAGTCTGATTTTTATGAAGAAGACTCAACAGCGTTGCCGAAGGGTCCATTTTTTTTATATTTAGATTTATTAAAACTGAGACTTTGTGAAAATTTTAGATGTTGCTGACGCACAAACAATCTTTAAAGCGAAATGTTTTTTTGAGTTTTGACAGATGACACAACGATACTAGCTTAGCCACTTTGACAATGATCTTCCGCAGCAATAAATATTTATTACTAATGTTAATTATTTTTTCACAAAACACATGATGTTCCAATTTTATGTAATAATCATATGCAGCGATACTATCCCGCTGTGTAAAAAAATTCGGATATGCAATCCTTCCATCCCTGCGGAATTTCGCTATTTCGGATATTTATACATTGTAATTTCTAAAGGTTTTATTTAATTAATTAAATATAAATATATTGTACCTTTAAGAATCAACACAATTTATTCATTATAATTTAATTATATTATTACTAAAAAAAATGCACGAAAAAGATGTAAGATATAATAATTAATAAATAGTTAAATTTTTTTACCAGCATTAATTATTTTAACGTTAAATTTCAGTATATTTGTGAACCAGAACACAAGTTCCATTGTTTATTATTAAAATATTTTTTTTTTAAAAAAAAAAATTTTATAAAAAAAAAAAAAAAAAAAAAAAAAAAAAAAAAAAAAAATAAATAAAAATGATCGACTTGTGATCTTCGGATAAAAAATTTATTTGTAATACTTTTGTATTATATGGTAATGAAAGGAACATGAATTAGGAAAAGTTGATTTTCAAAGTGTAAATGAACCAACGATAAATGATCCAAATGAGATTTGTAATTATATTGAGAAAAAGAATTATAGATTTTTTAAATTAATGATTTACGATCCTAATGAACGACCCCTTGAAGTTCTTCGGATGCATATAATGATCTGATGATTGATGCAACGTGGCAAAAATAATGCTGCATATTAAAGTCGGAGGGTAACGTTTTAAACTTTATAACTTTCCTTTTTGTATAGTCACACATTATTTATAATGCAGTTTATATTTAGGCTGATGTAGTTCACAGAACTTCTTGTTACTCTGAATTCCATTTGAGGTAAATGCAAGGTATCCAGCCCGCTGTCTTGGCTGACGACGGCCATCTTCGGCTGGAAGCTTCAGTTGTACTAGTCTGCTAGAGTTTACAAATTGAGTACAATTGACGACCATAACAATTTTTATCATAAAAGAAGCAGTTTTGGAAAATCGCTCCCCTTTACCAACGCACGCAGGTTTTCCCTTACAAACTTTTTTCTTTTCCCTTATCTCCCTTCCGTTCTTTCATAGTGCGTGATTCGTACATTTACTTTCTTTAAAATTTCCGAAAGTCCCTTTAAAAAGGACAGAACCTTCTTTTATTTAGTATCTTTTATGCGTTTTTGTGGACCTTGAATCTTTTAAAGCAGTTGGAATTTATTTACTTGTCCTTGTCCTTGCGAAAAAAAAAGTTCGACGAACATAAACATCGTCTCTCTTTACTTTCTTTTTTTAGGCTTGTGACCTCTGTTTACTTATTACTAGCCTTAATATCATTTAACGTCTTTTCAAGGTAAATAACTAACTGTACAATAACTTTTTTAGGCAATCTTGCTTATCGGTTCCTTATAAAAAATTTTTAATCTTCTTTGAGTGAAGTAAATAAAGCAGAACTAGGACACTAAAATTTTTTTATTTTTATTTTATTTTCTTTTTAAAAAACAAATTTTTAGCTTTTTTTACCACTGCCCAAAGGTCTATTGATATATATATATAAAAAATTACTTTTACAAAAAAATTGTTTTCTTTTAAAAAAAAAAAAAATTTATATTATTTATAAATTTTAGACCAGTAGATATTTTTCGACCTTGTACTTTCCTTACCACATTTACGTATAATTAATTGAACTCAATCATGTATGCTCAGAGGAATCAAACTTCGAATGCTTTGCTCACTCAAGCTTTTCATCCACCTTCAGCTGAGGATCAATTTTCTCAAAATTTTCTAGAGGAACAGCAGCAACAACAGCAATTTAATCAAGAACAATTAGAGGAGATCCAAGAACAATTAAATTCTTCCAATCTTATTCAACGCATCCAAATGACCGATAGTAGTAATTTTCCTTTTCAGGCTTTTGAAAATAATGCAATACTTGGAAGTTCTCTTCCTTCCGACTGGATATATGGGAGCGATGAAATAAATGGATTTGTAGATGGCACAGGGTTTGGTGGTGATAATGTTTTTGTTAATGGGTTGATTTCTCAAAATTTTGTTGATAATTCTTGGCTTGCTCAAACTACCGAACAACAAACTCTCCAACATATGGGTCAACAAGAACAAATCCATGCATCATTATCCAACTCCCTTTCTGATGCTGAGACTCAACAAAATTCAGAGTCTCAAAATAATGATCATGATCATTTAAGAGCTCAGACGCCAGGTCCTATACAGAAAACTATTATTCCAAATTATTTAAACATTCGTCGTCGAAGTTTATCCGCTGATAATATTCATGCATTAGCAAAAGCGCAACAGCAAGCAAATCGCAAGGTTATAATTGCTACATCGCAACAATCATCAATGGCCTCTGCAATGAACTTTGAACAACAAATTCAATTTTCTTCCATTCAAAACACGAAACAGCAAACATTAAATCCTAACGGATTACAAATTGATGATGCAAATAATAACCAAAATAATAATGAAAATGATGGGGATGTTAATAATCATAATTCACAAAATGCTTCTGGAAATACGAGCCCAAATTCACAAAATAATCGACCACATTTATCGAGAACTTCCAGTGCTAGCCCAATTAATCATGCTCAAAGGTTCAATGAATTACAAGCTAGATTTAAAGTAAAATTGGATAAAAGAACACAAAGAAGTATGCCAAATATTCAATTAACTGCAGCCGCTCAGAATGCTATGTCATTATCCCAATCACAAGCTAAAACAAACACTTCAGTATCGGGAACTGGTACTGTTCCAATTATGGATTTATCATCTTTATCTACTCCCAACACACCAACATTTCCACCTGAAAAATCTACTCTTAAACCACCAAACAATGCACCTCGTCGTGGACATATGCGTAAACGTTCTCTCTCTGCACCTACTGCTCCTTTTCCATCCGCGCAATTACCGGGTTCAATTCCTTTGCAACCAGCACAATCATTTCCGCTTAATTTTCCTCTTTCTTCTTCTTTCCGTAGGCCTAATGCTTTACCTATTCAAATTCAACGAAATCCAAAACATAATCATAATAGTCCTTCTATGTCTCCTGAAGAGTATCAACGTAAATTAGATGAAGAACTTGAAAAAGTTGATTTTGAGGATATTACTGTCAGTGAACTTAAAGAAATGTTAAGACAACGCGGAAAACCTGCAACAGGCAAAAAGGCGGTATTAATGCAAAGATTACAAGAAGAAGTAGAATACGTTAAAGCAATGAAAAATCATAATCAACAACAGAAAAATAACGGTAATAATAATAACAATAACAATAATGGTCAATTTTCTCAGATTATGTCATCCCCAACGTCCCCATCTGGAGTTTCACTACAAAGAAGTATTGCCAACTTACATATATCAAGTCCACCAATACATACTAGACGTTATAGCCCTTATGGAAGCGTTAGTATTCCGGGTAGCCCAAGAATGATGCCAAGTGGACTCGGTAATGGACGACCGCCATCGGGCTTCAATGGTAGTAATATTCCATTTCCTGAAAATACAGAAGAATGGCAATTTCAGACCGTTGGATTAGTACAGCGTAGTATGACACAACCTTTATTACATAATTTAGAAGATGCTTCAATTATGATTATGGGACAACAGTCACAAGATATTTATGGAACACAACCTTCTTCTGCCCCTCCCACTACTACAGAATTTGATGCAGTTGCAACTTCGGAATTTCAAGGATTTCAACAACCCTCATCTGCTCCTCCAATGACCACGGAATTTGATACGTTTGAAATCATAAATCCGATGTCAATGAATGTATCCATGTCTGATATGATGAGATTGAATGTTCCGGATGGGGCCGACCCGAATGTTCTTTTAAAACAAGAACAGGGAAACGAAAATAAACTTAATATTGACAATGGACAACAACCTGGGTCAATAGTACCAACGTCATCAAACGATACTGTAGCCGGAATGTTGGTACAACAGGGTATGAGATTTGATTTTAATTCTCAGCATCACTTACAAGACGAAAATATGATGATTAAATCCGAAGGTATTTCACATTTGAATTACATTTTGTTTAATATATCTTACTCTCAGTGTTAATTAATTTAAATTTATTTTATTTATTTTATTTTTTTAGATAATCTAGATTTTCTAAATTACACGACGAATATGTCCTCTATTTCTCATCAATCTGCACAACATCTGCCGATGCAGCTCGAATTACAACAAGATGGGATGACATTTGGCGGCGGATGGTGAATTTAATTGGATTTGGCTGGAACCAAAGAAATATAGAATTTGATATTGAAAATAACTTTTTTTTTTACAATTTGGACACGAAGCATTTGATTCACCATATTTATTATTATTAATATTTATATCATATATTTCCAGATAAGTTACATTAGATCATTTCATTTAGTATTTTACTCCTTTTGTATTTATGAACTTTTGTGTTTTGAAATTTTTTTTGTAATTTTTTTTTTTGGTTTCTGTTGCGTCTTTTTAAAGATCTTTTTAAAAATATATTTTTTTCTTATATTAAATAATAAAAAGATATATATCAACTTTTANTTTTTTTTTAAAAAAAAAAAAAAAAAGCTTGATTTCAAAAAAAAGAGATTATTTTTTTTTCTTTTTTTTTTTGTTTGATTAGCAAATCAAGAACCGAGTAATGAAAAATGGACGAATTATTATTGTTCCGGAATCTAAACTGTCATAATTTTGCGCGCTGTACGAGTGATTAAAATGTAATTCCATAATAGCATCGATATTTATATTATACTGATTTAGACTTTAGATTATTTCATCAGACCAAATCGGTTCATATCAATTTTTTTTTTCTTTTTTTTCTTTTTCCTCTTTACTTACATTAACACCATAATGAAACGTCATGAAAACCTTTCTTCTTTCTCACATAAAATTCTTTTTCTTTTGTACTATAGTTTTTTTTATTCCCTTTTTCCCCTTTTATAAATCATTTATTTTTTTTTTTGCCAATTAGTATTTACGCAATAGATACACAAAAAAATTAATCTTTTATCCAAAAAATGGAAAAAAAAATTTTCTTGTTAAAATTTTTGTTATATATATATATATAAAAGGAGTTGAAAATAAGAATGAGGGCAAATTATTCGAGTGGACTTTATTTTTATTTTATTTTTTTTTTAGTTTATATATATTTTTTTTTTCTTTTTTTTTGAAATTAGTAATTAAAAATATATTTTTTTCTTATATTAAATAATAAAAAGATATATATCAACTTTTATATTAAAATATTTATTTTAATTAACAGAATTATTTTTTTTAGACAACTTTATTATAATTTAGCATTTTTAACATTTTTAACAATATAAACAATAGCAATAAGAATGATTTTTCTATTTATAATTAGTTTTTTAATAATTAGGTTATTTTTTATTAATTTATGTTGAAAAAATGAATAATTGGTTTGTTTTTTTAATATAGAAAACAATCTAATTATTTATTTATTTATTTATTTTATTTATTTATTTTATTTATTTATTTTATTTTGAAATATTTTTTATTTTTAGGAAATTTAAGATTATTTTATGGAATTTTTTTTTTTTGCTAATCTTGCAAAAAAAAAGAAAATTTTTTTTCAATTAATATTATAGATCATATTAAAAAAAACGGTATTTATTTATTTATTTGTTTTATTATTTAAAGTTGGTTATTTTATTATTAGTTATCAGCTAGTATATAGTTTATTTTTAATATTTGGTTTTTTATAAATTATGTTTTAATTATTATTATTATTCTTATTAAAATAATGAGTTTGGTAAACCAATTTTACCATTATGTTTTTTCTTGGTCTTTTTGTGATGGTTGAATATTCCAATCACCTGATAAGTATAAAATTGTTGGTAAAAAAAAATGGGTTAATACTTGAAAGATAAAATACTGAATGTTTAAATAAATTGTAATAAAATAATATTACCTTCAGTTGAATCAGTATTCATTGTTTTAATCCAATCAATATCTAAACAAAAAGAGCCAGGTTGACTTAAAATAGAGAATCCAATAGTTTTAACTCGTTCCCTATACATTTCTATTTGAGGATCTTGTACAATTCCATGATTTGTTAATATAAAATCTCTAAACGGAATCTAAATATATTTGAGACATTTACCAATTAATTGATTATTATCATGAAAGGAACAAAAATAGATAAAATAAAAAAAAAATAAAATAAAAATACCATTACTATTTCCCATTCACCAGGTTTTCTCAGAAATAGACGATGTTGAAATAAATCAGTAAGTACGGGACCATCAGTTTGTATATTTACAAAATATTTTTTGTTATCACCACGTGCCTTTATAGCTAAATAACGAAATAATGAAGTATCCCAGCATCTTACTCCAAATAATGACGATCCACGGATCTACATAATATATTGAAAGCGAAAAAAAAGTAAAAATATGGACGGAAAAAATTGGGATGCAATGAAATCAGAATATGTACCCTTGATCTTATACCCGCGTAACCACTCCTTGTCAACTCTTGATTATATTTTGGTATATCAAGAGAAATATTTCCATGAAATTTACCATATCCTTCTATAAATTCTAAACTTGCATTCGAAAATCCTACATTATTTTAAATTTATAAGAAGAAAATATTATCATATAAAAGTTTGTCTTTTTTTTTCGAGAGAATACCAAAAAGCAATTAGAAAGTGAGAGAAACAATTGATTTTATATACCTCCAATATCTTTATCACATCCTATAACCCAATTTTCTAATTCTTTCGCATTATTAAATTGTAATAATAATTGTTCTTTTTCCCATGGTACAGGATTAGCTTTTAAAACTATTCAACATAATTAAATATTATTTTTTTTTTAAAAAAAAAATAGATCTATATATATTTAATAACTTTACTTCTAGTTCCTCCTTCTTTAATAGCATCCAGAGAACGTTTTAAAAAACCTGACATGTTTTCTTTTTTCACAATAAATGTGTGATAAAGGGCGGAAATCCTAAAAGATGATTAAAACAGATTTGATTTTCCCCGGCAGTTTCCTCGTACCAACATTCCCATATCGGATTAGATGAGTGAGAAATAAGATGACGTTTTTATTTATTTATTTTTTTTTTTTTTATTGTAAATTTTTTTTCTTAAAAATTTATTTTATTTATTTAATTATGAATATTCTTAGAAAATATGATGATTTTATTTTAAATAATGCTTCACAAATAAGTTCTATCGAAAGTTCTTTAAGAACTTTAACTTATGTTTTGCCGGGTAAGATCTTTTGGTTCTTAATTTTGAGTGACTGTCTTGTTTGTCTTGCTAAAATATTATGGTTATTTAGGACGTTTTGCTGATGCCGAGTTTGCTTCTGAAGCGCGTAAGTATTTTATAAACCAAAGTTGCCTTTTAGTACATATTATATTAATTCTAATCTTTGGTGTTTGGTTGTAAATAACAGTCTTTGCAGCTTTGAATTTGATTGGATTATATCATGATTCGATATTAGTTCGAGCCGCAGAAAATTTAGAACCTTCAAAAAAACCAATTCCCTCACCACATAATAGATATACGAGGTATTGGATTAATTCATCAAAAACGTATCAAAGAGCATCGTTTGCATTAACATTTTTGCAATATACTGATGTGTTAATGGAAATGGGAATACAAAAGAAATGGGGTAAACAAGTTAAATGGAAATTGATCATTATGGTTGAATTAATAAAGTAAGCAACGTTAAAGTTGCAAAATTTTCTTTCTTTCTCAGTTTAATTAACGAGAACTTTCTTTTTGTTCATATAGAGCCATTTGTAGAATTATACTTCTTTATAAAACACAAGAACGTACAATTGTCAATCCAGCTATACCAAGAAGAGAAATCGATCCATCAATTTTTAATCAAGAAAATTTTTCTTCAAATAGTAGAACGTGGATAGGACAGCGCACAGGATGTAGACGAGATAATTTATCTTCAGTATCCTCAATTCATCAAAATTCCAATTCTAATAATAATTATTATACATCGTCTTGTGATATAAATAATTATCTAATGAATAAAGTTTTATATGTTGAGGATATTAAAAACCCGTCCGAATTAGTACATAGGTTACATGGAATAGGAAAATTGGCAGAATTATTGTATATTTTAAGACCTCTTATCTATGGTATATGTCAAATTTCACCTTGATTTGCAAATTTTTTAAAATAAGTAGGTTTTAATATACTTTTTTATTTCCTGTAGTTCTGGCGTTACAAAAATATGGAAATCGTTCATGGAAACCTTGGTCATTTTCAATTTTTATTGAATTATCAACAATAGTTCTTTATAAATATTTCTACAAGAAACATATGTCAGGAGGTTATAGATGGCTATCTACCTTAGAAAAAGAAGAAGAGAGAAGACGTTTCCGTTTTTTATTTTTCTATTTTTTAAGAGGTCCTTTATATGAAAAATTTACGAGGTATTTTTTTTTTCTTTCAAAAAAAAAACAAAATATTTTAGAGATAACAGAGCAATTAATATTACAAATATAGGACCAAGATCAACAATTTTTGTCATTCCGTTAGCAATAAACCTATTTTATCACTGTTTGGAGGTATTCTAAGAGATTATCAACCATTATGGGAAAATGTTTATTTCTACAGTAAGTAATTTAAGTAATTTGAAAATTTTATGTCCGTTATTGATTATATATTTTTAACTTATTTATTTATTAGCCTCCTCATCATAAAAGGTAGTTTTGTGTTTGTGTAACATGTTAGATCTATAATGAAGTACATTTAGTAAGTCATTAAGTCGTATAAGTTGTGTAAACAAATAAAAATTGTATTTTATGTAATAATACACTTATTACAATAATATTAAAATAACTCCTCACGGTTAATATAACAAATTTAATATAAGTTATATAAGTTGAACGTTTACCGTTCTGTCTATAATATAATTGTTTTTGAATTAAATCTAAATTATTAAATTGAAAGTGAATATTGAATATTAAGAACGTTATAATAAAAAAAAAAAATAAGGTATTGAGATTCCGAATTTTATCGGGTAACAACACTATTACACAAATGTTCCCAAAAATGCCATAGTTCTTCTAAAGATCTATTTTTATCATCGATAATTCCAAATTTTAATATGATATCACCTTTAACAACATTTTTAGCGGTACGTTTTTGTAAAGTATAAGCTGCAGGTTGATTAGCGGGATCATCAAAAGTTCTAGGCATTCCATCATTTAATCCACCATTATTTCTAGCAAATATTTGCTTAATAGGAATAGTTATTTCACCTAAAAAGTCGCGTCCAAAACGATCTTCATCCCATACTGTTATAGTAATATGTGGAGGTACGTTTGTTTCACTTAATTTAATGTCAAATGATGAATTCCATACTGGATTAAGGGTTTTTTTGATAACTGCTGTTTCGTATTTTTTATTCGCTATTCGGATTACTGCGTATGGATCAGAGAATCCATCCTTATCACTAATAAACGAAAAAGTTATAGAGAATAAATAAATAAATAATAGAATATGCGAGAAGGAGGAAACTGACTTTTGTAAGATATATAGTAGAGTTCTATTCATCTAAAAGTTCATTTTTACATCAGACAATAAAAGAAAGTACTTACGCGGCTGCTAAATCTCTAGCTGCAAGTACGCCAATTCTAAGTATAATTTCAACCATAGTTTATAATAAAATATTTGATTTTTTTTTTAAGAAAAAAGAACGCAAAGTTCAAAGTTTTAGAGAAGTTTTTTTTTTTTAATTACACTAAACATTATTTTTCATTTAAAAAATACAACAAAAGGTCTTACCAAATGAAGTTAGCTGGTATATTTGGAGTACAACCCGCAGATGGAAGTAAATTAATAACTTGTTTTTATGCAAAATGTTGTACTTTTACCAATAAAATTTTTAATTTTTATCACGCTGACCAATAAATATTTTTTTACCTTAATTAATATTCTATACAATTCCGATAATTATAACAAATTCCGATAATTATAACAAAGATTTAGTACAACTCCAAAAAATTCTGATGGTTATTACGAACAATGCGATAATATAATTACTTATTGTATTATTATGGAAATACTCAATTGATAGTAGTTTCGGTTATAAAGTAACTTGAAATTTATATCAATCATAAAAATTAAAGTCTCCATAGTGATAGATTTTTAAGTATCTTTTATTCCAGTTTTTATTTAACACCAATTAATGTGTATCAATAAAATTAAATTTATACCATTTTTCGGGGGAGCGAATACTGTCATTTATTCTTCATTCTCTTAACATTTCCAAAAATTCTTTCATCTTCAGTCAATTCTATAAACACTAATATCACAATATATTATCCAATCTATATCTACAAATTTTTTTACCTTTTTGTTTATTGCAAATCCGTTCTGCGAGGTTGTCATGTGATTTATCGTATGAATCACCGAATTTTTATTTTATACTTAAAAATATCATTTCAATATATAAACTGCAATTTTACTATTTTTTTTGTTATTATATTTTTATATAAAAATTATTTGAATCACCTTTCTACAATTTTTAGTATTTTGGACCAGATTTTTTTAAAAATTATAAAATTATTCATCTATTAGCTTTTATATATAAAAATATATATATATATATATATTTTAATCAATATAGTGAAGTAATAAAAGTTTACTAGGCAGATTTTTTTTGAAAGTTAAACTGTCATAGCATAGCGAACATGCTTTATATCACTTTGACGATCATTTGCCGATCACAAGTTTTATTTTATTAAAAAATGATTAAATTATGAAAAAGTGCAAGGCAAAGTAAATGCCTAAATAAGAAAAAAATAAAATATGCCACCTTTTATTGTTGTATAACTTTAAATTAAATAATTTATATAATTTTTAATTTTTATATGCAAAATTATTAATATGTGATAATTTGAAGTTTCGGGATAAAAATTGAAGGCCGAAGCCGAATACGCAAAGCTGAAACTTGAAATTTTGCATGAACATTCCTTTTATTATATATAATCTGTAAAAAAAATAATGCAAGGTTTCTACCCATAATGCAGGTTTTTTGCTTATAGAGAAATTAGCCAATTATTTGTTATTAATATATTTCTAATAAAAAAGATTATTTACATTATTAAAGATAATGAAAAACTTTTAGTTGAAGATGAAGATGATAATATTTTAAGTGAAGATAATAATGATGAGAATATTGAAAATAATTTAGAAATAATAGAAAGTAATATGATAACCTGTTTGAAATATTATACTAAACATGGTTAAATTATTAATATAATTATTAGTATTTGTATTAATTTTTATGTTTTATATAAATTTTTAATTAAAATTAAAATTCTGTGAAGTTATTTGTAAATTTTAAACACTTATTATATTTAAAATTGATCTGTCACGACATATGTATTATGTGATAAGATCAAATAAATGATCGGCAAATGATCGGCAAATTTGTGATAAAATAGAGATGTTCACTATGCTAACTGTCATAGGCTTTGAACATAGTTTATCAATCCATTTTTCTCACTCAGAATTCAAATACTTATCAAAGCTAATATATAATAATTATAGGATAATGATACTTATTTACTTTTTTCTAAATATGAGAGGAACTGGAATGTAATCTCCAGTTGAAGACACTTTATCTCAGCCTTTGTTTCAGATATTTGCCTTTCATGCATTGAGATTTTTATATTCCCTTTTGGCAATTAATTAATAAAATGATTTGCTTAAATCAACAGACTTTTCTTTCTTTATATATTTTCTCAAGTAATCATTTGCATATGAGTCAGTGATCCCCTATTATAGAGGAATACTAACAAATCACATATAGTGCAGTAAATATAAAAAGTTCTTTTTCCACCTACAAATTTCCCATTTACATATATATTTCTTATTAACCAGGTGTAATCATTCTTAGAAAAGTACTTTGGATTATTTCTAAAAAACTTTTTAAATGGAGCATAAATACATATCTGGTGTTTCATAATCATGTTTATAATACAGATCTATTAATGCTTTTACTTCTTTAGGATTTATATCACAATTGAAAGAATTTCATACAAATTTTGGTACCATTTATTTTTATGATGGTATTGAAGTAGATAAAAATACTCTTAATAATAAATATATTAGGCATTTTGGATTGATTATAATTTGCTAGTANCCTGTTTGAAATATTATACTAAACATGGTTAAATTATTAATATAATTATTAGTATTTGTATTAATTTTTATGTTTTATATAAATTTTTAATTAAAATTAAAATTCTGTGAAGTTATTTGTAAATTTTAAACACTTATTATATTTAAAATTGATCTGTCACGACATATGTATTATGTGATAAGATCAAATAAATGATCGGCAAATGATCGGCAAATTTGTGATAAAATAGAGATGTTCACTATGCTAACTGTCATAGGCTTTGAACATAGTTTATCAATCCATTTTTCTCACTCAGAATTCAAATACTTATCAAAGCTAATATATAATAATTATAGGATAATGATACTTATTTACTTTTTTCTAAATATGAGAGGAACTGGAATGTAATCTCCAGTTGAAGACACTTTATCTCAGCCTTTGTTTCAGATATTTGCCTTTCATGCATTGAGATTTTTATATTCCCTTTTGGCAATTAATTAATAAAATGATTTGCTTAAATCAACAGACTTTTCTTTCTTTATATATTTTCTCAAGTAATCATTTGCATATGAGTCAGTGATCCCCTATTATAGAGGAATACTAACAAATCACATATAGTGCAGTAAATATAAAAAGTTCTTTTTCCACCTACAAATTTCCCATTTACATATATATTTCTTATTAACCAGGTGTAATCATTCTTAGAAAAGTACTTTGGATTATTTCTAAAAAACTTTTTAAATGGAGCATAAATACATATCTGGTGTTTCATAATCATGTTTATAATACAGATCTATTAATGCTTTTACTTCTTTAGGATTTATATCACAATTGAAAGAATTTCATACAAATTTTGGTACCATTTATTTTTATGATGGTATTGAAGTAGATAAAAATACTCTTAATAATAAATATATTAGGCATTTTGGATTGATTATAATTTGCTAGTATAGGAAAGAAGTTGGATAAGTAGTGATATTTTTAAGTATACTATTCATTTGATATACTATTTTCTCTACTTCTCTGTTTTTTCTTTATAATCTTCATCCACAAAGTATCTATCAACATTCAATTGAGCAGGTACAATCTCATCAAAAAATACTATATACTTTTGCATCTTTTTACTTATAAAATTTTCTTCATCATCCAATATTAACCTTTTATATAACATATCCAATAGTGTTGCTTATCATAAATAGTTATAAATCTAAAAACTAAGTAATTATAATGGTTGTAAATCAGAATTAAGGGCATGCAAAAATTATGTGATATAGTAGATGGATGAGAGGTCAGGTCCTGCAATCAGTGTTACAATATACCTTTTATAGTAATAATATATCTTTTATGGTAAATAATATATAATTTATTTATTAAGAAGTTTTTTTGCAATTACTTTATCATCTAAAAGTCCAATTTCAATGAATTTTTTTTTGTTTTATAAAGTATAAAGAGGGCTACAAAATAAAAAAAGTTTATGCAAATTGAATTATTGAATAGTAAAATAATTGTATTATAATATATATATATAATATATAATAATTTATTTATTAAGAAGTTTTTTTACAATTAATTTACTATCTAGCAGTTCAATTTTAATGAATTTTTTTTTTATTTTGTAAAGCATAAAGAGGTCTACAAAACAAAAAAAAGTTTATGCAAATTGGATTATTGGATATTGAAATAATTGTATTATAATATATGTATAATATACAATAATTTAAGTTTTTTTGCAATTATTTTACCATCTAGCAGTCCAATTTCAATGAATTTTTTTTTATTTTATAAAGCATAAATAGGTTTACAAAAACAAAAAAAAGGTTATGCAAATTGTGGGGGTTCAGATCTCTAATTGAGCATAATCATATGATTTCTGGCATATCTCTTATCATCTTTTAGTTAATCATAATAGCATAGTATTTACAACCAAATTATAATTTATGTTTATAATATTACAATTCGCTTAGGTTGTAATTCAAAATATAATAATTAATACTTATGGTATGTACTCTTAATATCTAATTCATCCTCATCCAAAAGACTATATACCTGATTTTGTGTATTTTCACATTCTAAATCAAGTACATAAAAATATGACATAAAATCTCAAGTTTGCCAAATAGTTTTAAGTTTATTATAGTATGACAAAAATGTTATTTTTTCAAAGTATTAGAAGCATCAATTACTGAATTCACCAAACATTTATTCGTAATATTTTTTTCAATAAATTTATTTTCTTATGATGACTTCCATTTTTTAATGTTATTGTTATTAGGTTTAGAAATATCTGATAAACCTTTTTTGGAATATTAATAAAACTTTTTGACAAATTAGCAACTTTACACTAGTCGAAATAGTCCAAATCAGATAGAAATCGATCATCTGATTTTAATCTGATTTATAACTCAATTTTGACCAATTTTTTTAAAAAGGCAATATTCCGTTTGGGTTCTGAGTGGTTGCTACTCAGAATATAATTCAGAATAAAAAATCAGATATAAATCGGATATAAATCAACAAATACTACTAAATTCGACACTATTAATTAGACATAAATCAACTAAATTTATTATATAAATTTGATATAAATCAGATATAATTCAATTACAATTCAATTTATAAATTCAGATATACTATAAAATATATTATAATACGCAAAACTAAAAATTAGAGTAAAATAAATTCATATATGCTATAAAAAATATAATATAATATAATACGCAAAACTAAAAAAAGAGTAAAATTAATTCAGATATGTAATAAAACATACTATAACTGTCTCTTATACACATCTAGATGTGTATAAGAGACATTAATTAGACATAAATCAACTAAATTTATTATATAAATCGGATATAAATCAGATATAATTCAATTACAATTCAATTTATAAATTCAGATATACTATAAAATATATTATAATACGCAAAACTAAAAATTAGAGTAAAATAAATTCATATATGCTATAAAAAATATAATATAATATAATACGCAAAACTAAAAAAAGAGTAAAATTAATTCAGATATGTAATAAAACATACTATAATACGCAAAACTAAAAAAAAAAGTAAATTAGTAATAAAATAGAATTCTGAAATTCCAACCATTAATCTTTTTGCATAAAACTTTCTGATTTATCCGCTTTATCTTCCAAAATTGCATCTAAATCTTCATCATCAATATTTAAATCGTCTGTATATTCTGTGTCATATACCATATCTGGTTGATCAACATATGACCAATCGGGAGTATCATCCGGTGGTACTTTATCATAGCATTGTATCTCGTCGTTATAATTCCGAGGTCACAATTGCTGCGCCGTTTGTTTCACTCTTAAATGTTTATTGAGAACATTTCTTAATAAAAGTCTCAACTAAAATGTAAAAATAAATAAAATCGGAAAATGTAAAAATAAGTAAAATTGGAATTAGTGAAAATAAGTAAAATAATTAGTGAAAATAAGTAAAATCAGAATTAGTGAAAATTTATAGCAAAATAAATTATCAAGATAAAATAAGTAACCTCTTCTAAGCGCCACAATAGATCATAAACATTAATGACCGATTTGAATCTTCATTTTTGGTTTCACTCACTTCCGGTGAATGATATGCACGATTTGCCAGAATTTTTAACAGATCCCATTTTTCATAACTCATAATTCAGCTATCCTTTTTATTAAAGAAATCTTTCGCAGCCTTTATCCTTCGCAATTTTTTCTGATTGATAAATTTAAAATGAGTTAATATGGATCATTAATTTGCCGCTGGATTATATTACATACATTATTTAATCTATTATTGGCATGAACTCGTCAATTGTCCATGCTTTCTTTGCCAGATATCCTCAAACTCAACTTAGATCGTCGAGATTTATGTAGGCTACTTAACCACCTTGTTACCTGGTTAAAGGATGGTTGATAATTCGGAACAAGTGATTTTCAGATTTTGGGAATTAATTTACGTCAAATTTTAATGTTTTTTGCATTATTAAACGTTTCATTGTAGTTTAAGTTATATTTCTCATTAAGTATTTTTAAGATTGATTTCATTTCGATCTAATTGATATTCAGAAAAAGAAAAATTAAAGAAAGTATTATGAAATAATAAAATTAGCAACAAACAGATATGTTAGTAGAAAATTCAGTATAAATTTGTGGAACCAAAAACGTTAGTTATTAAAATTAATAAAAAATTGGTAGTTCGTAAAAGTTAGTATATGAA